GTTGGGATTCCATCATGTTCCTCAGATCCTCTATTTTTTTTTATCTGTGTCCTCTCTAGATTTATTAATCATGTATTGCACTATGAGCACAATCTTTGCTCTTATCTGAAAAATTATTTCTGATTTCATTTTTCCCAGATCCTCTTTTGTTGACAGTTCGGAGAGTCCAGGTGGTTGATTATCAGATTGTTCCATCTAGTTTCCCCTTGGGGTTGTTGTAGGTGATCCAGAAGTCTGTTTTTGAGGCTTGTTTATGTGTCTTTTCATTTTGAAGGGGGTGAGGTGTGTGTGTGGGGTGTGCTCTGGCACCCGCGTGGCTCATCTTCTCTGCCCTAGGACTGTGCGATGGCGGCAGGAGAGCTTCCTTCTGGGTGCTGGGACCAGCTCAAGTTCTCTGTCCTAGGAACATGGGATGGTGGCCCACAAATTATTTCTAATTACATTGTTTCTTCTGAAATAAATTCATTTGATATTCATAAATCCTGGCATTGGACAGGAGTCCTGAAATGGATTAATAGTGAGTGCGAGGGTATGATTTTCTTGCTTTTATAATTTTCCAAATATTTCTCATTTTACTATAAAACACAGAAAATATGATGATATGTATTGTGAAAAAAGTTACCTTAGAAAAACTCCATGTTTTCAGGCACTGATATTGCCTTATCAGTCATAAAAACCTGTGTTTTGCTAGAAATGTTTTCCTCCAAGATTGGAAGTAGGAGTATTCCATGTCTATGTTTGACTTGAGAGACATGTTCTGCAAATAAACACCATTATTACAGAGCCAGACAGTTAGTATTTGGTAATGTATTTCAGTAATGCCACTGTCTTGGGTTTCCATTTCTTACTGATTGTTTGGGTTGTTAGTCCTATAGAAATCAGTTCACATTAGAAACCATCTAGGGCACACAGCATATAAATTTAATCTCTTTCAATCCAACTGGTATCATTGAAAAGAGATCAGATCTCACAAACAGCAGTGGAACTGGGCATTCATTTTGTTGAAGGTAAACTTTGCTCATGCTTTCAATGAAATGAATGATGCTGAATCACTGGAGGTGCTCAGCAGGTATGAGAGCTTACAAAGTATTGACAGAATGCAGTTTTATTAAAATAAAGGCACTTTTTAGAATGCAGGGATTAGTGTAAACTTTTCTGGGTTTTCATTCTGACTCATCACATATAAACAAGCAAGAAATCAGTTAAAATTTACAATTTAGAAATTTCAGATTTCTTTGTCTAAAAATGAGATTAATAGCATCCCTTCTCACATCATTGTCATTAACTTTAAAAAGGAGTATATTTTAAACTTAAAATTATTGCTAAGAAATCAACATGATTTTTATCATTACTTTTACTTATAGTTTTTTCATTGTGTGGAATACCAGTAAGACAAATGATCCCCATGTATTGTGGGTCACAAAGCTGATGATCTCCATGGTTCTGGAAATTATTAAATCTTTCATAGAAGCTCGTTTTTCTAATCTTGTAGAGATGACTCTGAAAATGCTCTACATCCTGAATTTTTATTGCACTGTTTGCACTTTCCTGGCAATCCAATCTTTTGTAATACTCCTGGGTGACAATCTAACCAGGTTTAGGGACAAGATGGGTCCCTGACCATAAGATCTACTCAAGTAACATTATATTCAACCTGCCTAACCTCTGCTCTTGTATGTCTTCTCTGTATAAATTTCAAATAACTCTGAATTTATTGACTTCCTGCCTTGGGGCTTCCCAGAACTACTGTGTGAAATCCCTTTGGATAATGGTTAGTCATTATAATTCATACACTTCCACCTCCAGTGCCTAGAAGGAAGCATTAACATCCCATAGAGAAACTCTTGATCAATATATTCTTCATTATTGTAGGGTGTTGGACAACTCTGATATACATTTTTCACAGATACTGTAACGCTTCCCAAAGGAATCAAGTTTACATTTCTGTAGTAATGACTG